TGCCCCACTAAATATATTGAAATACCTTTAAAGCAATTTGTGGTGGTTTAAGTTGGGGCAAAAAGCATGTCCCAGGATGCCTGTTCAAGCCTTGCGTAATGCTTGATTCTGAGAGTACTGTATAGAAAGTGACAGAACATACCTACCGATAGGCTGCTGCTATATTATATTTACAAAGTAAGAGCTTGTAGTTCCTGATACTTATTCTGATAGATGTACCCGAACCAAAGAGAAGCCTTTGAAGTTTAGGAAAAAGCCAAATAGATATCCATTGATCGATCTGTTGTCATAATCACTGCCATTTCAATCAATTATATATTGTTAATTTCTGGGTGGGTTCTCAAGTTCCTTCTAATCATCATGCATCGTAAAGACCTTGTAGTCACTCACTACGTATGAAAACATATTCCTTTCATATCTACTGATTGCGAATATGCTTACTAGCATATATTATGAAAACCAAATGCTGAAATATATTTTGTATACTTGTATTATTTAATATTATCTATTTTTATTTTTTTTAACAAGTTTATTATAAAATAAATTATATACTCCTTAAATTTAAATAAACTAATTTTTTTATTTATCTTTATTAACAACGTATTATCATATAATTTTTTAAATGAAAATACTGATTTATCTCAAATTTAAATAATACTTAATTTTTCTGGTTACCGTGTTTCAATAAAAAAATTAAAATAAATGAAAAGACAGATATCTGACTGTGTGACCACGCCATGATGATGTCAAGGTTCATTTTTCTTTGGACAAGCTTTAAAAATGCCCTCCAACTATCAGGTTAATATCCGTTTTGCCCTTTTTTTTTCTTTTTTATCAATTTTGTCTTCAAACAATTTAGATTTCTCAATTGAGACCTATTAGAATTCCTTAACAGAAAAATATTGAGTTCTTTACAAAATCACCTTGTTTCTTACCAGAAAAAATAAAAATAAAATTTGGATGGAATCCAAGATTGATGTTAAATATGGATGAAAATTAAGACTTAATTTGGAATATTTGAAACTTGAAGGAAAAATACTATACAAAAATTTGTTTGTAATCAAAATTGAGACTACCTATAATTGGATGGAGGGTATTTCTGAGGTTTACACTTTTCCTCGTTCCTTTTAAGTTCTAGCTAATTAATGGGATATATATATATATATATATATATATATATATATATATATATATATATATGTTGGAAATAAAGAAAAATATTTAAGTCTCCTCTTAATATATAGCGAAACATAGATTCATCGTTTCTATTTTACTATATTAAATTAAATATTTTTGGTATTTTACTTATCAATAGTTTTCTCAATTTTCTTATTGATATCTTTTCTGCATGTTATGAATTCTTTTTTTTTTTTTTTTTTTGCTTTCGGTTTTTTGTTTTAAACAGATTATGAATTCCTTCCATCAACTAATTGAGTAATATTGCTCAGTGTTTAGTGTATAAGAAGATTAATGATTAATCTTTACCTAAAATCCTGCGTATAGCAAATTAAGAGCATGAAGAAACAAATTACCTCTATATATGAAGTGCCGGCAGCTCTAATTACACCATACATACCACCAAAAACACAATTATAATTACCAACAAAACTTTTCCTTAATTATGCCGCAGGCCATATTGTAATCCCACCATTATTTAGAACTTTTGTAGGGTCCTTAGTAACTTAATTACCTAAAAAGTTGACTTACTAACTTATCTCTTCAATGATTACCTATCCCACCATTTGAAATATAACATTTCCCTCCTTTTATTTAAAATTTTATTTTCATATATATATATATTGTGTGTGTGGAGTTCAATAACAACAACAATAATAAAATAAAGTTGCGATCCATCTTAAGATTTAAAGGTCATGGTGAATTTCAAACTCAACCATCAAATTTAATACAATATACAGGAAAGCTATTCAGACATCATGGTTCAATAAATATCCAACAATTACACTTGACAATCCCAATACTCAAAACTCAAAACATAGGTTGCAAGTAAACAAAAAGCATAGTAAACATATCTCAAAATGGAAGGAAAAAAAAAAACTCTAATACTTAAGTTTGAGAATGAATTAATTTGGTGTTCTGCATGAAACCCAAATTCAAGTATAAAAACTGAGATACACAGATTTTTTAATGTGTTGGATGGATAAGTAGCGTTGGGTTTCTTTTTCATGTCGTTATTTTAAAAGAAGATTGCAATAGAAAAAAAAATTATTTGAATACATGCACCCTTACAAACATGGATAACATATTTATAACTCGTTCCAAAAGAGTCCGAGTAAGTTTTGAACTTGGCTCAATCAAGGACGTATATCCTACCTGGTAATCAGGGGGAAAAAAAAAGAATTTATGCTTCACAAATCTGAATGTAGATTTGTCTAAATAAATAAATAAAAATCCCACGTTCTCTCTTTTTTTTCCTTCAAGAAAGTGAAACTATATATTTTTCTTTATTAATAATTTATCGAGGCAGGAGACTCTCTTGCTCCTTCAAATTAATCCTAGCGCGAGTGGAAATTGATTGCATGCACAGTACTATATATTACCCGAGAATGGTTATTTTCAATTTTTCATTGTTAAATGTCACTGTGGATGCACATTTATCATTGACTAGTAATGGGCAAGTCTTGCGGCAATACTCCTTTTCTTGTAAAATCACTAGCTATACATCTAACGGCAGAAAACGCGCACAATAATTAATTAACTTGAATTATCAGTCAAGAGTCAGAGATAAAGTTAGACAGGGAGCATATTATGGAAAAGTTGATAAAGGAGGAGGAACCCAGCGAGTGAGAAGATGAAGATGGCCCCTCCATCCACTAAACATGTTTATTTACTTCAGGATAAGTAAACAGTCGTTGATGACGCTATCAATCAATCAATCAATGGAGATTAAACTCAGTCACAGAATATTGGATGCTGTGAACTTTTGACCGAGAAAAAGAAATCAGTTTCACCAATTAAATTCATGCCTAATTACTAGTCATTTTTCACAATTTATATATGTCTGATTCGTATGAAATCAATTATTATATGTGTAATGGATCAATACCTACCAATTATTTGTATTATTTTGGTCGTCTACTCCAATTCGTTCACTCCAATGATCTTTTGCTATATAATGTTTTAATTTTTTTTTCACATACATTTGTTCTGTAGCAGTAGTAATTAAGGAAAAGAGATTACATTTTTCTACGTTAAACCAACTTTCTCATATCAGAGTAAGTGTCAGTTGTTAATGATTTAAGGTTTTCTTTTTTATGATCTATATAGTTTTTTCATATGCTCAAGTTGGCTTTAGGCACCAAAATAAATCAAAATAGTTAAAATTTTGAATTTTCTCTGTTTTTTTTTCCCACTTCGATCACATTGTTATTATTGCATTTGTGCGGGTTGTTCCCATAAAAAGAATAAAAAAATATTTTAAACTTGGCAAACTCTGACCGATATTTTAAAAAATATTATCCATTCGATTCTATCTATGGATGAATATTGATAATATACGGATAAGAATAGCGAAATTAACGTTATTTAAAGGATTACTATTTTACGTTAAAGATATAGCCATCCGGCTAAGATGCAAGGAAAAGAAGATTGGCAGTCAAATATTCCTTTTCTCGAGGAATTACTTAGTTTCCTTCTTTCCTCTGCCTATCAAATTCCATGCGCCTACCAATATATGGATAGTGGTTGGTGATATGAATTCTCGTTGTGATAAATTTGTCTTCGTTCTTGAACAAAGCAAATAAGGCATGATCTTATAATATATATCCACAGTGCTGTTGCATTATTCCAATTCTGATGGCGCCCTCCTCTTCAACTTGTTTTGTTTTGTCGAAACAAGAAAAGTACTAATAACATTTTAATAGCATCAAAGAATTGGGAGATTTATTCGCATCATTGTCTCTCCTTTCTAAGTAACATATGTAATGCATGTAGTTTGTGAGACTACATGGCAGAGGATAGACATAGCATAGCACCTTTCCCATTTTACGATGAATTAAGTATGAGTTTTAGCCATCGTAATCCCGATGGTACAAACATGCCTTTCCAGCAAAGTATCAATTAACACGCACCATCATTGTCAAAAGGAAGATTTAGTCTTTAAATTCTATTCTGAGATGTTGAGGCCCTAGCTATTACGACCAATTCAATCATATTGATGAACAGAAAAATTAATCAAACAACAATTCGATGACTGTGACTTTCTAGGAGTAAATAAAATTGAATTAAAGTTTAACTTCACCAAAAGAAAAGATTAAAAAAAAAAAAACGAAACCACTTTATCAACTTCGAACAAATGCATCCTAACTCGTAAATTTTGAAAAGCAATTAATGCTCATAGAGGCTCAAAGAACTTCATTCCGAAAAAAATTATATTATTTCAAAAGTATTAATACTTATTTTATATATATATATATATAGATAAACAGAAAAAATGAGGAAGAAAAAAAAAAGAGTCTAAATCAGTACACGGTTTGTTAAATTCAATGTACATATTTTTATAATCCGAATTCACAAATTGATACATTAGAACCTATTTTATGACGATTTTCAATCATTGTTAGAGAAAAAGTGATGTTTTACTGCAAAAATTTAGTCTCACCTTTTGTAAGTGCTCGAAAAAAAAAAAAAAAAGGTTCCCAACTCATTTAAAAAGGGGGAGGGTATCATGGTAAGCTAGTAAACATTGAGATTTGAGACCAGCACACAACATTAAACCAGCCTTTTTTAAGTGCTAACAGAAAACACACAGAGGCAGAGGCAAAATATTTGTTTTTCTCTGTTTCTTAGAACACTCTAGGGCAAGGCAGGGGTGGGCAGGGCAGTTTTCTTGCAAAAAAACAACTACTACTATTAGGTGTTTCTTTTTTGTCAGATCTCTTACAATTGCAGTGTGCAAAGTTTCCTTTTAAAGACAAGAGGGATAGATAAATAGAGATACAGTCTTTTGCTCGCTGGGTTATCATGCGTGTCATCGGATTTTGATGCCGGCACTGTCGATGCTTTTAGATAACCCAGCATTTAAGAGAGGGATCAATATCTCATATGCTATTATTTACGTTAGGTACAAGAGGACAATTAATGTAATGACAATTTGGCATTCATTGTCTCTATAAGAATCTGCAATAGATATAGTAGCCACTTTCAGGGAAAAAAGCTGCAATAGCCGTTATTAGATTACGCTATTCTACTCGGTGTTTTTTTACTGTTGAAGGCATAGAACGAGAGAAGCACCTCTGTCCTGGCAAAAGGAGTTAAAGAAGTGCCAGCTTTGCTGGACTGTCGCACATTTGTCCGTAAAAGGTCCCTTAATTTCGTTCTCCACATTATAAATACAAGAGAGATCTCCAGCTGAATACAAAAGCTAACTACCTCCATAAATCTTTCAGGTTCTTGTTTTGTTCTCTGTGTGCTTTTGGTTTCTTGGTTTGGCTTAGACTTTGTCTTAATTATGGCTTTTACTATTTTTTACAGATCTGTAGAGGAGCATCGAAGGAAAATGTCAAATCAGAAACAAGGAGAGGAAGCTATGGTCTCTAGCTTCAATGACACTGGATATGAAGAGAAAGAGGAAGTAAGCAAGGATGAACCCGGTTTTAGCCTTAAAAGCATCCTTTGGCATGGTGGGTCTGTGTATGATGCCTGGTTTAGTTGTGCTTCAAATCAGGTACTAGTAGAAAAATATTCTTAGAAGCCCGTTCATGATTTGGCATAAAAGAAGTTAATCTTTTCATTAGTTTTGATGAAAGAAAAAATGGGTTTTTCTTTTTGCAGGTTGCTCAGGTTCTGTTAACACTTCCGTACTCTTTCTCTCAAATGGGGATGCTTTCGGGCATAATTTTGCAGATATTTTATGGTGTTCTTGGAAGTTGGACTGCTTACCTCATCAGTGTTCTCTACGTTGAATACCGAAGCAGAAAGGAGAAAGAAAATGTCAACTTTAAGAATCATGTTATACAGGTTAGCCTTCCAAGAACCCACAATATGAGAACAAAATGAAGTCAAAAATAAAAATTCGAATTTTATTATGTCTTCCCTTTTTTTTTTTTTTAATGTCAGTTTTATTTTGTCAAAATTTTGAGTCTGCAGTGGTTTGAAGTGCTAGATGGATTACTGGGTCCAACTTGGAAAGCTGTAGGATTGGCCTTCAACTGCACTTTTCTCCTGTTTGGTTCTGTGATACAGCTTATAGCCTGTGCAAGGTTCGTTATTGTTTCTTTTCGGTTTTTTGCGGTTTTTTTTTTTTTTCCCTACTTCCAGAGTTAATTGGAAATGGGTTTCGTATATGCACTGATTTGAGTTGATTATTGGGGTAATCACAGCAATATATACTACATAGATGATAAACTTGACAAGAGGACATGGACTTATATTTTTGGAGCCTGCTGTGCCACGACTGTGTTCATTCCTTCATTTCACAACTATAGAATTTGGTCGTTTCTGGGACTTGGAATGACCACCTACACTGCATGGTATATGACTGTTGCATCTCTTGCTCACGGCCAGGTACTTGAAATTTAGATCAACAGCCTCATTTTTCATAAGCATCTTCTTTGTCCACATTAATTCCACGCCAGAAGGATTTTATTTTTGTTTTTCCTTTCTCTCCTTAAAATATTATTACCTTTATTTTACAGGTTGATGGGGTTACTCACTCGGGCCCAACAAGTGCAGTTCTTTATCTCACAGGAGCCACCAATATCCTCTACACTTTTGGTGGGCATGCTGTCACAGTGTAAGAAGTCTCTCTTATTTTCTATTGCTGTGACCGTGCAAGAAACCAAAATTGCTTTTTAGTTTTTTTTTTCTCATGAATTGATGAGTTTAATAATGAGAAAAATTTTGAAACTGACTCAATAGTGATAGAGATTCCATCTATAAAACGCCAAACGAACTAAATTTGATTCTGATATTCTAGTAAAAGAAGTCGTGGCCGGCAGGCATACTTTACACCCGGTTTTGACTAGTAAAATGTAAGTTATCATTTCACCTTGAATTCCACACAATATAGAAGTACTTGGTTGGTTTTCCAGCAGATGTTAGGTCTGTCATGACAGGGCAGTTATTGTTAAACTCTCCATAATCTAATGCGTGTCATCAAATTAATTATATAATAAACCTTGACAAGCATGTGGGTTTAGTTAGCTCTTAGGAGATGTAATTAAACAGTAAAGATTCAAATTCCACCAACACCGGAGACGGAAGAAATTTAGGACAAAGTCCTACTTTTGTGTAGTCCTGAAACTGTTAGACCCCCTTGTTTTATCTTGTTAAAATTTACACCTTAGCTCCTATGTTATATAATACTGACTCATCTTACCAAAATATAAAATGGGAATATAGTATTATCTTATCAAACCAATCCGTCACTCTTTCATAACTATCCAATTTCAAGTGGATTATTCTGATGGCCATGACTTCTTGGTTATAGGGAAATTATGCATGCAATGTGGAAGCCTCAAAAGTTCAAGTACATATATCTACTTGCCACTCTTTATGTGTTCACCTTAACACTTCCATCTGCTGCTGCCACCTATTGGGCCTTTGGCGATCAACTCCTCAATCATTCAAATGCTTTCTCCCTACTACCCCGCACCCCATGGCGTGATGCTGCTGTTATCCTTATGCTCATCCATCAGGTTTTTGCACATTTTCTGTTAATCTAAAGTCATGATTAATGAACATTTACGATGACATATACGACCATGTTAAAAAGTTTTCATTGTTTTGACTGATTAATTTGGTATGTATATGTATGAATTTCAGTTCATAACATTTGGATTCGCTTGTACACCATTGTATTTTGTGTGGGAGAAAGTGATTGGAATGCATGATACGAAGAGCATCCTGTTGAGGGCCTTATGCCGGTTGCCTGTGGTCATACCAATATGGTTCTTGGCAATTATATTTCCTTTCTTTGGACCAATTAACTCAGCTGTGGGGGCTCTTTTGGTCAGCTTCACCGTCTACATCATCCCTGCTGTAGCTCATATGCTCACTTATCGAACTGCCTCCGCTCGACGGGTAAATGGTCCATTTTCTCTACCTCTTATCTTCATCTCTACCCAATGCTTGTACTAATTATCTGGTTGGCATTTTCCGATGGTTCCATGAAGTTGCTAGTCCATTACTTTATTAGTCTCACTTTCTTAAGTTACAATAATTTCCAACACAAAGGGATAGATGGATGTACACGTACCCTCATGAAAGGCATAGTTGCTGGGATTGCAGCTATATGACTAGTCACTAGGGAAGTCTATTTTGGTCCTAATCTCATGCTAGCTAACTTGATTTGATCATATTAGCCATTTAATTATTAGACTAATTATAACTTTTGACCTCATAGAGATGACTGATGAGGCGCAAAAGTTTGCATTAATTCTTGAAATACAATTCAAGATTATGTTTGCCCACCATATGCATTACAGAATCAAAGCATACCAAAGGCATTAAAAGGTGTTGTCGATAAGATATGCCCTGTTGTATAAAATAATTAAGAGGCGATCTTACTGACTATAGAAAAGCGATCTTGGCAATACCTGGCAATCTCTCTGAATGTACTTCCTTGGGTCACTGGTCTTGTGACTAGTCACACAGTAGAAGGTTAATAATGGATTATGTTCTCAAAAAGAATTATAATCCTGTTTTGATTAGTGCTTTTCCAGCATGGGTGAACTCAAAATTAGAATCAGGATAAGAGAATTTAAGCAGTGCTCATCATCTGTACGTGTGCACATCTTTTAAACTGTAGCATCTTTTACAAGTCCATTAAAATTGGTTGTTTCGTTGTTGCAAATGCAGAATGCAGCTGAGAAACCTCCTGCCTTCCTCCCAAGCTGGACAGCCATGTACGTATTGAATGCATTTATAGTAGTATGGATACTTGTGGTCGGCTTTGGATTGGGAGGGTGGGCTAGTATGTCCAATTTCATCAAGCAAGTTGACACATTTGGCCTTTTTGCCAAGTGCTACCAGTGCCCACCCTCGTCTGCTGCAAAAAACCATTAAGTTTGGGATTCCTCACGTTAAACCATAAACCCTCTTATAGCTTTTTGAATTCTCTCTCGCATGTATTATATACACCGGAAGTTGGCCGTAGTATCTCACCTGTATTGTGTTTTGTTTAAACCCTTCTATAAATAGTAGTTTATTTGCGAATAACGATGGTTGCTATAGTATCATATATATATATATATCAATGTTGTTATTCTCTATTTAGAAGAGTACATCTCAAAGTTAGCAAATGCAATTACTGGGGACATCTTTTTGTTATCTCTTAGGAGAATCTGCATATTGTCAATAACAGTGGAGTGTGCCTCTGATGGTGTTTGATAAACCATCTTTGCTGGAGGAAATTTATGGAGAGATTTGTGAGTGGTAGTGTTCACATGGCTTGCACATTACCTAAAACCCTTGTGCATGTGAACCCACATGAATCCAAAATAAATCGTTCGAATTTGTAGTCTACCTTAGATCTCCTTTGACTGCCTCTGTGGGTTCTCTTCATTATTCTATTTGTTCATTCACGTGGATTTATTACTTGTGTGTCTTCTTGCTTCTTAATTGAAACCTCTCATGGAAGTTGACTAGTCAAATGGCTAGATTGGGTAAAGAGGGAAGAATTTTATATTTACTCTATACAGGAGAAATAGATACAAAGATGAGAGAGCAATAAGAGAAAAAAAAATTTAAATGAAAATCTTCTTATCACTTTTAAAGAATTTGAATATAATTTTTATTTATTTATTTATTTTTTAAAAATAAATTCATGAAGTAAATATTGTATTTGTATAGTAGTTATTTTTTGAGTATTTTAAAATTTATTTTTAAAATTTATGGGTTAAGAGTTTTCTATACTGATTTATTATAATAAAAATAAAAAAAAAATCCAAATGTAGTGTTTGTAGCTTTCATCTTTGTTTCTAGCCTCTGAATTTTAGCCACTTTTCAAAGTTCTTGTCTGTTCGTTTTGCCTTTGTCCTGAGTTCATGGCTGTTTAATCTATTAAAATGATCAATTGAGTGGGGACCATATATTAAATAAAAAAACAGCAAAGATAATTGCTTCAAGTTGGGAAGGGGAAAAAACAGAGAGTAAAATGGACAAATCACAATTAACGACTGCCATGAAAACTATGAGAATCCAAGTGTTAGGAACATAAACAAGAAGGTAAAAAGAAAGAGGGAATAAAAATTAAAAAGCAGGACCGATTGTGTCTAAATCGGAGATGATCCTCGAGCTACAAGGCTGTGCAGTTCTACCACATTTGCCTTGCATAATGGGGCCAAACATCTACTGTGTATCGGTCTATGAAATGACCATAGACTAACTTAAAGTTGGTCATAAATGTGCGCACACACATACAACAAGATTTTGTTCTTTTTGAAAAGAGAAGAAATTGGCTTTCTTTTATTATGTGACAAAGACCGATCAAATTGCTTGTTTGCTCTAAGGACTAGCTGCAAATATTTTTTGTCCCTAAAGAAAGGATACGATGTAGACATCCTTGTCACTTTTTATTTCTCTCGCACGATCAAGATGGTGGGAATCAACGACTTTATCAAAGGTATCTCAAGGAAACAGTCTTGAAGAAAATAAAGAGCCGTAGCAGACTCAAAGTTTTCATTTTGCTGGTGCTTTTTGCTTACAAAAGTATGTCTTTTTTCCCCGTATGTTTTAAGTGTGGACTGAAAGTGAAATCAATTTACATAAAGTTCTGTCTCATGATATTGCTATTATTTTCACTTTATTCATAATCGTCTTTGTATTAGCTGATTAATTTTGACTTCAGATAATTTTCCCCTCTATTTGCATTTTAAATTTTTGACATAGGTGAGGACGGAGGACCTCCTTTCCCAGCATGAGAAGTTCTACTCATTGGGCTTTGATTATGCATCTAGCGTTATTGTCATCTGGGCTCAAGAGGCCTCGCCCGTATGCTTAGATTTGCTGTGATCCATAACGGTTTGGTCATGAGATGGAGTGTCAAATAATTGCTGGTTCGTCACAAAAATCACATGCATGCGTGAGGCTATTCGGCCGTGGATGTGGAATGGGTTGAATGCCATTGCTAAAAATTGCACTGTGATCCAAAAGTATTTGGAAAAGCACTGTAGATTTACTGTTTTTCCTGTAGAGTGTCGCGGATCACTCGTAGCCGTAGGGTAGACAATCACCCATTTGCACTGTATTTGTTTCCACTATTTATCCAAAACAATTGCACTTTGGTCACTGTTTTTTTTTAAATTCAATCCAAAACTTCTTTTTTCTTCAATTTAGTCCTTGCATGCTAAGAGTATCGATGAAAGAGAGAGAGAGAGCATGCAAGACCCATTTTGACCACTTTAACGGTCGATATTACCACTAATTTGTTCATCTCGAATAGTAAAATCTTTTTGTACCGAGTCATAAATCATTAAATAGTTGGAGGAGGCGTAACGAAATCTAAAAATATTTTGACTTTTTTATTTTGATTTCAAATTTTATGTATATTAAAATGAGTTTTGAGAGTTTAAACTTGTAAGTTATTTATGTAATTTTGAGGTATTTTTGGACAAAATGAAGTTGAATTTAATTTTGGAATATCGAAAATTAAAAAACTTGACTTTTGGAGCGAAATTGAGTTTGTGAGAAATTGCATAGGTCATCAAAAATTAAAAACAACCATTTTTTTAATATTCGGCCTATATGGGCTCGTACCTTGATTTTTTTTTTTAGGCAAAAATTATGGAACTTCGAACATTATTATTTACATTTTTCACGCAACGTGATAATGATAATATATATATGTATAGTTAAAAATGTATTTCGGATAATTTGTTTTAGTCTATTAAGTTTGGTTATGACGCATAAAAAATTATTAAATAATCGGCTTTATTAAAAAATTAACTATGCGGTGATGGTTTTGTAAAACCCTTGCAAAAATGGTCGATTTAGCGATAGTCCGCATCTCATATCGTCGCTAAAAAGCTACGTATTTAGCAATGATTGACCAAACCATCACCGATATTGAATTTATTTGGGTTTTTAGCGACGGTTCATCGAAATCATCACTAAATAAGCAATTTGGGTGAAATTTACAATGGTTTTTATCATACCGTCACTAAATTCTCCAAAGACCTCCAACATATACTTTTGTGGAATTTAGTAACGATTTACTTAAACCATCACGGATCAAACAAAATTTTATTGATTTTGGTGACGGTTTCTCAAAACTCGTCACTAAAGAATCGTTTTTTGGCAAAACTAGCGATGGTTTCATCAAATCGTCGCTAAAGTCCCCTAAATAGGCTAATAGATGCTTCTAGGATATTTAGCGACGAGTATGCCTAAACTCGTTGCAAAAAAGTGAAATTAGCGTCGTTTTTATTAGACCATCGCTAAAGTCCTCCCCCCAAAAAAGCTAACGATTACTTTTGGGATATTTAGTGATAGGCATGCTTAAACCGTCACAAAAAAAGAAAAATTAGCATTGATTTTAGAAGAACATCGCTAAATCCCTCCAAATATTTATGGATTTTTAGTGACGATTTAGCAAAAATTACCGCTATCATCCCTAAAAAATAGGGGAATTAGGAACAATTTTTGTGATACCATTGTTAATTTTAGCCATTTTTTTTACGATTTTAGTGACCATTTGACAAGATTGTCCCTAAAAAGCATACTTAGAGGGGAAAACAAAATTTTAAAAAAATAGAGATTAGCTATGGTTTCAAAACCACTCGCTAAATAAAAAATCTCTAAATTGGTGAGAGACACTATTTTTCCCATTTTTCTTATTCTCTTCTCTCTTATTCTAGAAACTCCTTCATTCTCTCTTCCCGACTCAATCATTTTGAGTTCAATACTTTTATCGAATTTTTTTTTTGGTTTTTGATTTCAATATTTATATGTATTTTTTTAATTAATTTTTTGTTAATTGTTAATTAGTTTAATTTATTTTCATCAAAAAGAGGTGGAGGCCAACAACTACTAGACAAGAGGAAAAGATCAAAAAATTGGAGGATACTATTACATCGCTCCTTGAAAATCAAAAGCGGTTGGAACGGTATGTGATAATGCAAGCAAATGCGATAGATGTTACTAAATATGCAAAAACGTAATTCCTCCACCAATCCTCCGACCGACCATCATGCGTTAGATGGAAATGCCGATATGTGACATGTAGTCTATTCATCACATTATCTTTTTTTTTTATTGCTCTCATGTTTTTATTTGCTGAAATATCAATACACTTTAATATAATTTGGTGTTTGAATATATATTGGATTGAATTGGATTCGATATAATATAAATGATTCATATTTTCTATAATTTTGTTTCATATTGTTATTGTAATTGTTAAATTGGATTGGATTTGTGAAAATGAAAATGAGATATATTACTTATTAGCGACATGTGAATGATGAAATAATTAATTAAAAATATCATCCAAAAATAAATAAATAAAATTGATTTAGCGATGGTTTTAAACTCGTAGCTAAATCTAGGCCAAATTTGGCCACAATTAGCGTCGCTTCCGAAAACCATCCCTAAATAAAAGCTCAATTTTACGGATTTTCAATTTATTAGCGATGAATAAATCGTCTCTAAATTAGCAATGAAATTCTTGAACTCGTCGCTAATAAATTAGCGAGAAGCATTTTAGCAATGGTTTTGGACCGTTGCTAAGTTTAATTAAAGATGTTTTTTTTATTTAGCGACGATTTAAACCATCGCTAAATCGATTTAAACCATTTTAGCAATAGTGTTATTAGTAGATCTATGAAAAATCTAGAAAAAGAGCATCATTCTTCATTATTTGAAAAGTAGCCCGGATGTTGGCTTAGTATACTAGAGAAGTGACACTAGTCGGCTATATGGCTATATGGTTCAGATTATGCAGGTGATATAAAGAGCGTGTGATCCTTCACAATTTATGTTTTCACTCTTTGAAAATGTGCAATTAGTTAAAACTATTGTTCCCAACACACCAAAAGGAACATAATTAAATAATAAATATTGACACAATAAATAAATAACTTTATTGTAAATTAAAATAAATAAAAAATTTAAACTTTTTACCTTGATCATTAGAAAAATTAATGATTAAAATCACACCATCATATTTCGCAAGTATAAAAGATGACCAAACTATCAAAATGGTTTTACCGTAATTTTGAGATGACTAGCTTGAGGCACGACCAAGTTGCTTTCATGAGACGATATTTGTCATCCGCAGAATTTATCCGATGCAACGGATAAAAATTATATTGCACGTCATCTTAGAGATACAACAAGCTCAATCACCTTGCCATGTCTTAACGAGTTTGCATTACTTGTAAAACTTGAAACTTTAAATAAAATTTATAACAATTTTTACCCAAAAAATAAAACAAATAAATATTATATGGCTTTATAGTGGGAGATTAAAGAACACAAAAAAATGAAGAATTATTTTTCTTCACTAGAAAATACTGCTGCACTTTTTCTCTCTAATATAGCAAGAATATAAAAATGTTGTGCACTAGTAAATGACAGAAAACAACTAGTATATACAGCTGAAAAATAAGAGCCAGCCGTTAGTTGGAATTCCATGTACACTATTAAAGAAAATTCATGGCTAACAAACGTTAAGAATGAATTTAAATTATGTCAATAATGACATTGAAAATAAATGGAAATTTTAACTGTTGCAGCCTTTTAATTTACCATGCAAGTATTAAATAATATAAGTATCGTGAAACTGTTGTAACCTTTTATTTTTAATGTAACATGTGTTGCATTAAAAACTATTTTAAAAAAAATAATCCAACAGAAACAAAACTTTACAATCGATAGTTGCTCTTTCCTCCATAGAGACAGAGCATATGACATTGATTGTGGTAGTGAAAGAAGCTGTTTATCTTAGAGGTTTGGTTGAGCTTATTTCAGAGTTCATCTATTTTTTAACGTGACAGCTAAAATGCGATAAACTTGACCAAAAATCAAATGTATCATGAAAAAATTGAACATATTAATGTTAGGTATCAATTCATTCAAGTTATAGTATCTGAAAGATCTATTATCATTAAGAAAATCAATACAGTAAATAATCTAGCAGAGGTGACAAAATCTGTTTCTATACTCAAATTCCAATATCGCTTGAACTTGGTTTATGTTTAGAAGACGTAGCTTGCCCTTTGGGGTTTTGGAGGAAAAGATTAGATTAATTTTTGATTGATTTTCTCATCATGGAGAAGTTGGTTTGCAGCTTTTGTCCCCGTAGCTACTGGAAGAGGAAATTTGTTGGGAAAGGAAGAAAGTGGATCTTGGACCCATCAAATCCGTGAATGCAAAATGTAGGCACAAAAATTGAAGAGGTGCAGTTTTTTTTTTTTCCTTATGTCATTCGTGAATCTTTAAGCATTCACATACTTTTCTGGTCTTTTTCATGGTTCTCCCTAAATAATGTTTTATAAGTAAGTTTGATTGTTCATTGGTTACATTACCTTGTATACTTTTTTTTTAAAAAAAGGGAGAGTGTGTGCAACTTTAGAGTTCGGATTTGAGTATTTAAAGTTGCTACTATTTGCATTCATATTTTTCCATAGATTTTATTCATCTTCAGCTATGGATGTAAGTACCCTGCTGAACTCGGTTTATGTTCAGAAAATGTAGCTTACACTTCGAGTTTTGGCACGAAAAACTGATTAATTGTTCCACTGATTTTCTTTTTTAGTCATTCGTGCATAATTCATTCATGCACCTTTTACTTTCTAGTCCCTTTCAATATTTTTCTTAATATCTATAAATAGGTTTTCAATATTTCTCTTAATGTCTATAAATAAGATTAATTATTCATTAATTACATTATATTTTATTATTATTATTTTGCAGAAAGAGAATGCAATTTTTGGAGTTTGAGTTTGAGTGTTTGGAACTGTTACTAATTGCCCTCATATTTTTTCATAATAAATATTTTGATTCGTCTTTACTTATGGATGGAAAACCATATTAAATACTAGGGTTATTCTGTCTGTGTCATTTATTTGCTTTTTCATCAAATTTTCTCGGTTCAACTCAAATCATTTGGCCCGAACAGTATAAAGCACTATTCACAACACTGGGAAGTTTGAAACTTGACGATATGCAAAGAAACTTTCACTGGTGTTTTTAGAGGTAATGAGTATAACTGAATTAAAAGCAGAAGAAGAGGGACGTGCAGTTGTTCTTATTTTGACTAGATGATTCCTAGTTGTGCCATTATCATTCAATGAGAATGATAATGGCTGCACTGTATAGAATTAGCTCCCTGTCACCGCTGAGGTTTTGCAAAGAATTAGTAAGTGGTCACTAGAGAAATATCAAATTCAATCACAAAGCAATACTTAATTACTTAATTTGCTCACTGTCAAGAGGGGAAAACCTGAAGAACTAACATTTTGTACGAGTATATATATAGAGATTAGAAATGTGTAGATCGTAGTAGTTGAAAATGATTATTAAAGAATGTTGCTTTTTGAACCATCTTGCAACCTTACCAAGCTGGAGACCAAGCAATAGATAATCAAATTTAGTAGGATATAAGATGTACATAAAATCACATGATTGTGAGAAATAAAACTCCATCAGCCCTTACCAGATTCTGGTACATGACCAAACTGAAAGGGGGAAGCCATGGCTAGCTGCTACCAGGCTAAGGCATGTCAGAGTATTTGTTTTTGTGAGCTCTTGAATTGAAGAAAATTAGAGAAAAAGAGGTTACTTTTTAACTGATAATAATTAGTGTAATTTTCCAACACGGCAAAGTCTCGGGCGAAACCAAAATTAAAATACTCGCTCAGATTTTGTGACGGTTTTCAGAAAAGAGCCTTTGGCTCTTTGGACTGGAGATTTTAGCCAGTAAGAACGGTCAGGTTGAAAGAATAATGAAAGAGGGTAAATGGGACTCCGGAGGGAGGTGCAAAGGGAGGGGACAAGAAGGACGCAAATGTGGATTTGGATTGGACATCAGCAAAGCAGACAGACTCTTTTCTCTTAAATTATAGGATCTATAAATTATTTTTGTAATAAATCTTATATTTTTATGAAAGAATGGAATGCAGTTTTTTTTTTTATCATATTTAATAAATTTTCATTATCTGACAATAATCCTTTCTGGGATGCTAACAGTCTTCGTTCAAAATTCAAATAACTCCTAATAAATGCGTTCCAACAAATTATTCTAGCTTTTGCACGCTAACCAGCCATTGTTTTGGCCTTTCTGAATTCAAGGTCTTATTTACATAAATACACTCTGGCTGAAAATGGAGAAAATATACTTACAGGAAATATCTCATAGATTTATGCACCTATACGTATTAAACATATACCATTTCCCATTAAAATAAGGAATCTGATAAATCGAATAATTATATCCGCTATATATGCCGTAAATAATTGCAAGCATAAATAGAAGGTGTAACTACTACGTAAAAATAGAGGGGACACCACAAAAAGTAACTCTATGACACCAATAAGAAGAAGAAGAAATCTCAATTTCAAGTCTTCAAGGAATTGGGTTTGGCAGTTGCAATTTGGGCCATCAAAATTATTTTTATTAATTAATATTTTCATCTTCATACATATGAAAATTACAGTACACGCTAATAATAGTAATTTCTTTTGGAAATATTGTTAGATCTAAAAAATTAAATTTGTGAGATTCACTGAAATCCCATTCAACTAATTCAACGATTAATTAACTGATCAGTGAAGTGAAATGATATGAAATGTATATTTTTATGATTTTTTTATATTTTTTTTAATTTTTACCTCAAGAAGTTTCCTTTTAAAATTAGCATTGTACACCGACGGTCAAAAAGATGTAATCGCATAACTCATAATAGTCTATATATTGAGAAATTTTAAAATACAAGGAACACATTTTGAAAAGATAGACCAACAGTAAAACGAGAGAGAAAAGTAAATACAAAACCGCTAAAAATAATAAGAATATTTCTCTCTATTCTTTTTTTTCCTATTCTGTTATATTTGTATTGGCAGTTATTCTTTAGAATACCATAAATTTTTTCGTAGTGACTCTATGCCATCTGTCTCTACTATAAAATCCACAGGGGATGCTACGAAATCATTCACATATCTCTCTGTTTTACTTTCAGTCCCTAGTATTTTGTCAACGCAAGCTCAACCCAACTCAACCAATACCTTTCTCGTGTGCAATCAGTATCATATGTTTAGTTAGGGGAGGATACTATGCCTCCAGCAAGAAGAGGTCGAAGGGTTTGTTACTTAGACCACCTTTCTTTTCTGGTTACTCCATTTTCTAGCTCTTTTCTTCTTCTTCTTCTTCTTTTTCTCTCACTCACGAGAAAACTCTCTGCTACATGTTTCAGGTGGGTCTGAAACGCATTCATGCTGCACTTGACGCTGTTCGTCCTTTGGGATTCCCGGAACCATTGGTTCGCAGAATTGTCAGAAATCTCCTAAAGGTCACACCTTTACATCTACATGAAGGATCCGTTTATGAATGTTTCTGTTATTAGCATTGTAAAGGGGTGTATTTTTTTCTGTTAAAGGAAGTGATTTTAAAGAAGGAAATCAGAGCTTTGGATTTTCTGGAGTATTATTGAATGTTCATGATCCGGGTTTATAAGTTTCTGTTCGGTTGCTGAGAAAATATGGTCAGATTTTGGAAGTTTTACCATCTGGGATTCCTAAAATATTGCAGCTATGCTGGGCGTTAGTTCTTTAGACGAAGGGTTTTTTTTTTGTTTTTTTGTTTTTTTCCTTGTGGGTTTTAGGTATTGAAGGTTTATGTTGCGTCAGTTATTTTTGGGCTTTCTGGGATCAAGCAGATATAAAATGTGGGGATTTGTGAGGGTTTGTTATTTTTTGTTTCAGGAATATGGTGGGGATGAAGGATGGGCTTTCATTGAGGAGGGTTGCTATAAGGTTTTGATTGATACGCTTCTCGATGAGGTAGAGAAATCAGAGAGGGAAAACAGTGAACCAGGATTATCGACAGACAATGGGCCAAAATTGTTGATTGAGAATCGACCAGCAGAGGTAATTTCCTTTTCCTTATCATTTTGTATCAATGCATGTACTTTCAATTAAATGGAAATTGTATTATTGTTGCTTTGTGTGGGTTAGGGAGAAAAAGAATGAAGCACTATGCCGTATGACTTAGAATGGACTGTGTGTATTATATCCATGAAATTCAATAGCAAATGATGTTGTAATTTCCTGTTCTCCAAATCATTCTCGTCCAGTGCTACTTAACTAACCCTGTATCTTGAGACTTAAACTTTCTTACACGAAAAGGATAGGTTCATGCGAGCATATATAGGCACGATGTAACTGTCTTGACTTCATATCAAACTTGTCTTTCTACTAATGAAGATGGTAGAATGCAATTGTAAGGATTTTCTTGTTATGATTCTTCTAGCACAGGATTGAAGTACCCATAAAATAATCTTAAGCCACGCTGAAGAGAAAGAGAACGGTTAAGATTTCGAAGAAGCTAGCTGCTCTGTTCATGTGTCCTAGGAATTGGATTTAGATATCACCAACATAGATAGGACTGCAAAAATGATGGGAACTTCCATCTTTGCTTGAATAAAGAACTTCTCATGTGGTGATATTTTAATGTTTACTTGTCAGCAATCGATTATTATTTTCTTATACCAGATGCTTGTACTTGCTTCAATTTCATGAACTCTGGCTCTGTTTATAATTTTTGTCATTAAAAAAATATAGCTTTAAGTGTAAGAGTTCATGGTAGTTGATCAAATTATGGTATTGTGTTCATATCATTGTACTTATGTGCGTCCAAGTAGGTTTCTGAATCAGCTGCATTAATCTCACATTCACTGAATTCGTTCGCTTTCTATCTCCTTTCTGCTTTGAGAACTTGCTGGACGTTTTTTCCTTCTTTTTTGCCCTGTAAAATTGTTTCTCAAAACATATTTTAGATAAAACATATATCAAGTAGGAGGTTGTTGTACATGGTTCAATTTATGATACCAAAATGTACCCTGGAGCTTTCCTTTGGGCAATCAAATTGATCCCTTTTCCTAAAAAGATTATGCGCCCTCATCCACTGATTTAGTATACAAAAACAAGAAAGTCTCAGTCCCATACTAGTCGGGGTTGGCTATACGGATCCTTTAGCACCATTCCACAAGTTCATGTACCAAAATTTCGAACTGAAGGTTTTGCCTGGCATATTAATTGTTAAACATTGATATGCTGATGATGTATAACAATAAATCACATAATTTTGCATCTGGTTGTTCTATATTTTTTTTCGCTTCTGAGAAGACGAATCTTGCGTTTGGTCGTCTAAGAAACCCTGCGCCCACACAAATGCATTCCCGTATACATTGTACGAATTTTGTTTAGCATGCCATGTTTAAGAATACTATTTTCGCAGGATAAATTCTGTGCCTGAGTGGCCCTTTACTTTCTGAAATGTTGTTGGATGTTGATGCACATGAATGCGATTCTGTTGAGTGGGACATGATCTGCCATTGGAATTTGAACATATATCCTAACGCTACATTTATTTCTTTCATTCCATGTTTCTTGAAGGATGGCACTAAGAAAGATGAGCCTGAAATACAATTTCACCCTCCAACCATTCACTCCCTAGCAGCAATGGATGTCATTCCATGTTCTTCAGTGAGTGATGCACCTGATGAGAAGCTTGGAGTACAAGTCCATTCCCCTACCAGTCATTCCAAGCAAGTTCAATCAACAAGCATGCCCTCTCCAGTACCATTGGAGACTGATGCACTTGATGAGAAGCTTGGAATGAAAGACCCATCCCAACAAATTCACTCTGCACAGGCTTCCTCCTCTCACATCAATTCTTCACAGATAACAGACATTGTTCCACGCTCTTTGAAGGATGTTTCCTCTCATGTCAAATTTGAAAGACAGTCTTGCTCTCCACAGATATCCTCCACAGGAGTCCAATCTCCACAGTTGTTCTCCCCACTGCAAGTGGACTCTCTCCCTCCTCAGAGGCGTAAACCATGTTATGGATGGCTTAGCAGTGACGATGAGGATGAGCCAGATCTCTTACATCTAACACCAGCTACTTAATCTCTATTCCCATCTTCTATTTCAATTTCTCATCTTAGCAAGAAAATTCAGTTTGATTTTCGATTGTAAATAATTTTTTTTTGCAGCGCAGATTTTCTATCCAGAATAGCCAAGAAGATATACATAGCATGTCTTGGAATCACTTTCTTGGCAGCTGTTTTGACTTTTGATAATCGAACAAGTTAACAAGCCTTCTCGTTCTTAGCTTCCATTTGATAACATATTTTACACGAAATCCTCAAATTGTGTTATTTCAACATTATGGGAGAACATTAGCTAAAAGTATCCTTCGTCCACCTGAATAATTAATCTTGCTATTGGAAAGAGGTGAGGAAAAAAGTTGAGGACGAACTGGAAGTGAGTAAATTATAAATCAGTCCCTCTGTTTTTTTCAAAAACTGAATTAATTAGTCTCTTGTTTCCAAAACTAATTGCTACTTTTAATTTAATATTTTTTCAAATATCTTTTTTAATCAATAGTTCCATAATATTTATTTATTTTTATTTTTCTATTTTTTTAAAACAAAAAATAAAAATTAAATTATCATGAACAATTAATAAGAAAATAAGATTTTTTTTTGAAATAAAGTGATATTAAATTAAGCATGATCTGATCAAATAACCAAATAATTGATTTTTAAATAAAAAATTAATTAATTAGTTTGTCGAAAAGGATTAATTTATAATTTATTTTAATTTTTAATGGGTACCACGTAAATTTTTATGTTACCAAACATGTTCATCTCCTAGGGTTAGTTAAATTATCACTTTTCATCTCCTAGGGTTAGTTAAATTATCACTTTTTTTTTTTTTTTTTTTGAAGAAAAACTCAAAACTCCGATTAAAAATCCGGTGACTCAACTACCTAATTGATCCGAATTGCCATTAAAAATTAGAACCTACATAAGACCTGATTAAACCTATTAAATTCGGTTCAAAACGGTAAAATCTGGTTAGTTGGACCATTGAACCGCATATTAACGGGGCTTAAAAAAAGTTATAATATGTGGAGCTTGAACTTGGAACCACTAAGTATATATTAGAATTTGTACTTACTATTTCATGTTTATACTTCCTAGATTATAAAATATATTTATATTATACTATAATTGACCTATCAGTCTGGTCCCGTGACCTACTGGTGATTTAGTAGCTTGAATGGGTCATTTTTTAGGCCGGGTTTAACGACGTTGCTCTAATAAAATTTTGCTGAATTACAGTCTTACAATCGAAAATTGATTAAATCTTCAAATTGTGTACACGTGTAGGATCCGGACTCGCAAGTCTAGATATCCTAAGCCCAAAAACTATCACTAGGCTTAGGCGGGTACATAAAGCTGAGCAACGAACAAAAAGCAGATAATGCAAGCTTTCTTCTTCCTTGTCAGTTATTGTGACTCCCAAGATAGCTATTGATTCCAGTCCTAGATAAATAACACCAACGCTCGCAAAAACAAGCAAGACATAAAAAATAATAAAAAATCCCTTGAATCTGCCATTTGAAAAAACAAAAAGACCAAAACGATGGACATAGGGTTTTAAATAACAACAAGACATTGTTTTTCTTTTAGATGCTAAAAATGAGTGTTTTGGCAACATTTCGTGGCAACCTTAGTTCCTTGTTGATACCACAGTGCAGCTCTTGTTCTTGTGATTATCGTCCACGCCCAATTTTAGCTTCTTCTTCTTCGTCTTCGTCTTCTGTTATTTCTCGGCCAAAACGATGTCGTCGAAGAGATTTCAAGTTGTATCAGGTTTCAGAGTAAGTTCTTCTACTATTGTTGTGGATGGTTATGATTTATTTATTCTACTATCACTTGAAATGCTTTCTAGTCTAGTTTTTTTCCGCTTGAAGGAAGCTAATTATACCGTTGTGTTTTAGGTTTTGTGAGAAGAGAGAAATTATTGTGTGTAGAGCAGCAGAGACAGAGATTGAACCAGACAATAGCAATAATGAGAATAAGGTTACTGCATTCTCTTTTCCTGTTAGTACAAGAATGTCAACTTATGTGCAATTTATTTCAGTTGAATAGTTAGTTTGGTCTACTTACAAGCTTCTTTCATTTGATTTTAATTTGTTGAATTTAACTCTGGTGAAGTAACTTAAGATCCCAGTAACATTTTAAGGTTTAATGGTTAGATTTAATTTTGTATCCCAATCTTGAAATTCAATATCTTACTTTGGTTGTGATATTGGAGTTTGGGGGAATTGGAATTCAAATCCGAGATTACTTTCAATGTCAAATTGGAAGTTGAACTCACACGCATAGTGGTCCTTTATATTAAATGCTTCAATTCCAGAAAAAAAAAATTGGCTGTGTAATTTCCTGTTTTGTCTCAATAATATTATGATATGGTTTTGGCATTCACTTACTTGATAGTTATTTAACATAGAAATTGCTAATTATCTCTAGGAAAAAGAAGTACGTGAAGAAGGAGAGGAGCAACCTACCTCAGATTCCCTTGGCAAAACTGACAACCAGCCTGATTCTCAACCTACAGTTCTAAATCAAATAAACGGTGGGGAAATGAAGACTGGAGGTGGCACCCAGGTACTTATATTTGTTACTTATTATTAAGCCTTGCAGTCTTTTAGATTCTTTCTCTTTTTCATAATAATTGTAGACATAATGTTTACTTTATTTTTGTACATTGCCTTTCCCTTTAAACATAACTGTATGTTTATTCTCCCTCTCGTGAAGGGATGGATGTGCTGTTTCTAAGTGGTTTTAAGTAACAGCAGTTAAATTAGATGATATGCAATGGTTGGCCACAACGTCCTGTAGTCATCCAGTTACAATGGTTGCTAGTCTGGCCTTTAGCTATTTCGTTCATCCTAGAGTCATGTTCTTTGACATAATATTATTTTGGTCAGGTTCATGTAATTTTCTTTGGTTTGGGAGCAGGAAACTATTATTAAATCCTCTGACCCTTATTACATTAAGGTTGTGTTTGAAACAGGAAGCTGATGATGTAGAAGTTGTCAGTGGGTCCCCTCTGCCAGGTGTGAAGGTGATTAGCAAGCACTGTAGTTTTTTGTGTTTCAGGAGGGATTTCAATGCATCCTTTCTTACTTCTGTTAACAAATTTCCTTAACAGCCCCAGCAACTGGATGAATCAATCAGGATTCCAAAAGCAACAATTGATATTCTCAGGGACCAAGTGTTTGGCTTTGATACATTTTTTGTAACAAGCCAGGAGCCATATGAGGTGAGCTACTAATGCGTAAGGCTTTATGTTTTTCGACTCCTCGCCTTTATCCATAACAAATTCTCTACAAGGGAATAAAACCAAATGAACCTGCAATCTAGATTAGAAGTTCTGATTGATTATTTAAAGCTTATAGCTGCCCAGCCCACAGCCTGAATTTATATTCTTTAATCATGGATATCGGACATATCTTGAACAGAGATTGGGTTTGCTCCATCTCACTTACTCTTCATGAAGGAAATGCTCGTGCTGGTATCCTTGCAAAAAACGATCTTCTCAAGTTTGTCCTATAGTGTGGACTAGTCCTCCTACATGTTCATCCTCAGCTTCTAACTGATAGTTCTGTAGTCTTATTTTTGAGAGAGTAGTTTTTTTTTTCCCCTTCCTTATTCCATTGTACAAAAAAGAACTGCTCTTTCTTCCTTTGAAAGTTTAGAAATTCTTTATTAAACTTATCTATGGAAATTGAATATCCAATTAAGAACGGGAACAAGCAGTCTTTGAAATAGATATATAGGAGGAGTTTGCTGTTTCATTTTACTCTTTCTAGTCAATGGTAACTATTTTATAGCTATATAGTTAATTCGTTGGATCTTTTGTTTTACTTTTGGTAGGGTGGAATCTTGTTTAAAGGAAACCTGCGAGGTCAGGCAGCTAAAAGCTACGAAAAATTAACGAACAGGCTGCAGGTATATATTTCTTTTCATTTTTTCCTTTTCATGCAGTTGTGTCACTGATCCTTCATACAATTTAATTGAACAGAATAAACTTGGGGATCGGTATAAGCTTTTCCTCCTAATTAATCCCGAGGATGATAAACCAGTGGCAGTTGTGGTTCCAAGAGAGACCCTGCAGCCAGAAACTGCAGGTAGTTTTATAGCTCTGTACAGTGTATTTCTCCCTTATCAGTACCTTTTGCACTGCACAATACTTAAATTTTTCTTCGCAAGAATGAAGGCACAAATCATTTCCATTTTAACTTCTAGTTTAAACCACAGTGATTTAGGTTTTTTTTTTTTTTTTTTTTTTGCAGCTGTCCCAGAGTGGTTTGCAGCCGGAGCTTTTGGACTGGTTACAGTTTTTACGTTACTTCTCCGGAATGTGCCTGCATTACAATCGAACTTATTGTATGTAATTGGTTTTTCTATTCTTATGAATCTTATGAATCATATTTAGATTATTATAAGTTATGTTTTGCTGAAGCTAAGGGTGATAGAATAACAATTTGTTCCTTTTTGTTTTGACCGTTAAGATGATGAGGTTAATTTTAATTGCAGTCATGAATTTTTAATCTGTTTTATGTTAGAGTTATTGTTTAGGTGAGTATCTGAAAAGGTGATTTCCATGGTTTTCCTTTTGTAATTCCTTATGTTCTCATTTTGTCGTACTTTTCTTAATTAAAGGCAATAACTTAAGCAAATTCTTTTTCTTTGCCTTCATTACGTATACTTTCCAGGGAGGATAATTCAATTTTGTTTTCCTTAACTCCATGCCCATGTGGATAAAATTCATTTTTCTATAGAGTTAATAGTGCCTTTTATATCTACTCTTTTTGTAGTTTATCATCAATGTTTCTAATTCATTTTTGTATAAACATTTTCTTTGACTTGTCTAGACTTTTTCCTGATGCAGAACTTAAATTTTTCTGACTCGAACATTAATATTTTGAATGCCCCAGATCGACTTTTGACAATCTTCAACTATTGAAGGATGGGCTACCTGGGGCCCTTGTGACTGCACTTATTCTGGGGGCACATGAATTGAGCCACATACTGGTTGCAAAAAGCAACGAAGTTAAGCTTGGGGTGCCATACTTTGTTCCAAGTTGGCAGGTGATATGTGTGTGTGTGTGGTTGTCCTGTCTTGATCTTTACTTATGGAGCAGTTCACTAGCTGTGACTTTTTTTGGGAAGCTTGCAAGGAGACTGTTGTCTTTCACAAGCAACTTATTTCTATTGAAATACATGACTACTGATCTATACTGTGTCGGTGGCAGATAGGCTCTTTTGGTGCTATCACAAGAATAACAAGCATTGTGCCGAAACGTGAAGTTCTTCTGAAAGTTGCAGCAGCAGGACCTTTAGCTGGGTTTTCCTTGGGTCTTGTTCTTTTCCTTTTGGGCTTCGTCTTACCACCTAGTGATGGTATTGGTCTTGTTGTTGATGCTTCTGTATTTCACGAGTCATTTCTTGTTGGGGGTATTGGTAAGTTCTTCAATCTGGAGGTTATTGCATACTGATTTGCCTGAATGATTTGCCTGAATATTTTGTTTTAAGTGGCTTGCGATGCTTTAAAGATTGTTGCAGATTGAATTTGTTCTATTATAGCTGACTCCCTTGATCTTTATATTTCTTTGCCTAAAAACTTGTGCATTTTTTTCATTCAGTGATTAAGTTATTTACTTCACATATAATTTTTCTCAAGCAAATTGGAGACTGATGATATTAACTTTAAGCTTTTCTTTCATCTGTAGCTAAACTTCTTTTGGGTGATGTACTCAAGGAAGGCACTCCCATATCTGTTAATCCACTGGTGATATGGGCGTGGGCTGGACTTCTTATTAATGCCATCAACAGCATCCCTGCTGGAGAACTTGATGGTGGACGAATTTCTTTTGCTATTTGGGGAAGGAAGGTATACCATCTAGAGTTATATGCAAGAGAAAATATAAGATATTTCCAGTGGATTGCCTCCCAACTCACATGAAAGCGGGACCCACCGTGATAACTACCAACGTGTTCCACTTTTCTGTGAGTCAGTGAGCAGTACAAGGGAGTACCCAATGATCCCTCTAAATACAATATAGCATTAACTTCAAGGTTTAAACTAAAATGCTGCAGACACAAAAAACGCACACTTCCCAATGGTTCATAAACTGCAATAAAACCTTTGAACCTCTGATATGTTTCTGAATGTTTAGAGGTGAAGAGAGTGTAATACTGATATAGTTTTTCATTTGACAGGCTTCAGCTCGCTTCACTGGTTTCTCCATTGTCCTGCTTGGGCTAGCCTCTCTATTTAACGATGTGGCTTTCTACTGGGTAGTTTTAATATTCTTCTTACAAAGGGGGCCAATTGCTCCGGTTTCCGAGGAGATCAGTGATCCTGAGGATAAGTATGTTGTCCTTGGAATCTTAGTTTTGCTCTTAGGATTGCTGGTATGCCTACCATACCCCTTCCCTTTTACGGATGAAGCCATTACAAGTTTCACAAACGATGCCATTTCAAGTCTCTAGTCACGACACAGTTTCCATATACCCCAGCCTAAAGCTTTTCTTAGGATGTCAGCCCTGCTAGAATAACTTGTCCAACGAAATGCTTCTGATACACATCCTGGGCCATCAAGTAGGTGAGTTGTGCTGTATATTAGCATCAACAAATTCATACGCATGGCTATTTTGCTGCCTGATTCTGTTCATGTAATTTCAATAAAGTGGACGAACTTTTTTGTGGGTGCTTCTACTTTTAGGCATGCCATGGTTGAGAGTTAGTGCATGACCTCATCCTGGGTGACTGAAATCAGTGAGAGCAGGTGTTTATCTTGGATTACCTTCTTTCAAGGGAATCAGATATTGTTAAGTTGATAAATATACCCTTTCAAATCGTAAACAGAATGTCAGGTCATTTCAGCCTGTGACAAACCAGAAACGTTTTATATGCTATAACGCAAAGCAAGAGAGCCTAGCGAATAAGCAGACGAGGACTCTACTACCCAACAACAGTTGCTACTGGAAAAGAAAATTGGACTCAGAGTGGAACGGGGTGGAAGAGTTTAGTAAAAATGCTCTAGAGAGGAGGGTTAAGTAAGTTTTAAGAGATTTTGAATCTGTCTTTGGTCGAGAGGGGAATGCGTGTTGATGCATTGCCCACGGGCAGGGTGAAAACGATCTCTTTCCTCTGGCATACAAAGACTTTCCATGCATGGATTAAAAGAGCATTGAATCGACAATATGTGAGTGAGGAATAAAAACTTACAATCAACTTCCCACTTTTGATGTCCCATGATTCTGCTAGTTTTATAAACTAAAGAGAAAAACAGGGGTCTCTAGGTCAGAAAAGCGATAACTAAAAATGCTCCCCGAGTAGGATTTGAACCTGCAACCAGTAAGTTAAGAGCCCTTATTCTAAGATAATCTAAGCAGCAGCTCCACAAGGCCGGTCGGAAGCATTCGATTTCTGAGCCACTCTTTTTCTCCTCTCCGTTGGCCTTTGCAGCCACAGAGCAAGAGACCCTACGGTGATTATTGGTTGCGGGGGTAGAGAGACGACTCCATTTCAGTTTGAGACGGCTGTCCTCATTGCTGCTTGACCAGCTAGATACGTGTTGTCTAGAAAAGCACAAGTGTATTGATCTGGATTATCACGTGGGTGCTTGGATAAGGATGAGTCAGTAAAACATGAATCATGTACTTTGCACATGCTTGTTCTTATTTTTTGGCAGAACGAAACTGTCCCAAGTCTTGAAATACAACTACGAATCATATACTATTATGGAACTAGAACTCACTTTCAACCTGTGTTTCAGAAGCTGAATGTTACTAGTGTACTGCCCCAAGCTGGATAATCCGAATTTCTTTTGCCGCAAGTTTGTAATTAGAGTAGTAATTATGGATTCAGAAACAGTATTTAACTTACTGTCCAAGTGATGTACCAATCCTACCTCAGATGGGAATATATGAAGATAGTATGCAAGCACGTAGACTAACTGGTAAGTAATAACTTGGAGCTTAAATTTGGGTTACGTGAGGGCCATTCTTTTCATCATGTTATGTCAAGTTGGTGGCCGCTTGAGGCATTACAAATGGTATTGAAGCCATCCTTATTCCAACTTCATGTCGTCATGCATGGGGGCAAGTATATCTCGTGTAAGCTGGGATGTGTTGAGTCAATAATTACTTGGCGCCTTCAAAGAGAAATAATTGGGTACTTTGGCTGTCAATACTGGCAAGACTTGCATCAATGAGTTCTCTAAGTCATGGTCACAGCATCGGTGTTCTAGCATTTATGCCATGTTTGAGGAAAGAGGAGGGAAACTGTGCTCAACTTTCACGAGATTAACCAAGGATGGCACCTCTCGTGAATACGATCAATGACCCTCAAGTACGTACATATAGCTATACATTTATCCTAATTAGCTAGGTGGAGCCTGGAACCTTTTTGAAATCCATAAATACCGGATGATCTTCCATAAAGCTTTCGCCGAACTTTATTTTATTGATTTTCCCTTTTGATCTTCAATTTTTCCTGACAAAGAAATTTCAAACGTCTTCTCTACTATTCTACACAAGGCTTGGTAGGATTTGTTTTCCTATAATGGTTAGATATTTCGGGCGACTTTTATGAGGCTATAACTAAATCTTCCCGCAAATATCATTAAACGAAAATAGCAAAATAAAGAATAATCTCAATGTAATAAAGAAAAGAAAAGAAAAGAAAAGATTCTTACGCAAAAAATCCTAATTCATTAACGTGTTATGCATGTTATTGAACACGACAAAAATTTGGGTTAGTTTCAGCAACAGCTCCTATGAGAATCCAGGATTTTCCACACGCCTGGCGGGTTGGTAGTTCTTTGCTTAGCAATTAACGCCACAGAATTAAGTCAAGTGTTTTACTCCAAGAAACTAGCAAATTAACAAATGACCCTGATAGCACACCTCTCTCGGAACGCATTTCTTCAATTGTATAGGGGATGACAATTTTACGGGTAATATATATATTTATTCTTAAGTAATACTTAAACATTATGCTATTTACTTAGATTTCTATTTGTATTTCATTTATTTTTTACAATATTTAAAATATTCAACGTCTTTTTTATCAATTTTTTCATCAAATAATTTTTTTTTACCAAAATGCTACTGATTTAAAAAAAAAAAATCTGAAGACTTAAAAAATATAACATATAGATCATATGAATATAAGAATTTTTATTTATTTATTATTTATTATTTTTATTTTTATTTGCATTTTAGAAAAGGGCATTTCAATAAAAAAGTTTCATGGTTGAAAATTTTGATCATTCAAAAAATTTCAGAGACATATGAAATGCAATTAAAAATTTATGGACATATGAGAAACTTTAAATATTATATAAAGATAAATAGGTATATTTACCTCAATTTTATCTAAAACCTGATTTTCATTTGACCCAACTAGTTAAATAATGTATTTATTTGCTTTGTTATATGTGTGTATATTGTTACATAATATTCTTATTACATACAATTACATTAAAAATATTACTCTCTCCATTTCAAAGGATTCTCTCCCTTTCTATTTATATAGGTCCCAAAATATTTGTTTAGTCAAGACTTTAAATAATAACTTTATTAAAATACCTCTAATTGAAAAAAAAAAAAAAGCAATTTTTTTTATTTTTTGTTTTTCACTTACAAAAAAAAAATCAATATTTTTTATACTTTTTTTTTAATTTATACATACAAATAGTACTTTTAACATAAAAATTTCAAAGCATGAAAAATATTCATTGTTATGGGACTTTACTGCATGTCAAAATTTTGGAAGTAAAATATTTTCATCAGTATGTTATTTTTTCATAATTTTTTCAAATTTATCATTAATTAACTTAATGATTTTTCCTTAATTTACCATATTAATTTTGGATAGATTTTTTCAAATTAATATTAGTTCTATGTAATGTAAGATTAAATTTGATAATTATCAATTTTAATAAAAAAAGAATATTTTAGAAAAATAAAAAAAACCGATATGATAAAATAATTAATAATTTTTTAAAACTGCGTGAAAAGTTGAATAAAACAACGTTTTTGGGACAAAAAAAGCATAAGAAATGAAAAGTCCAAATCGCATCCAAATTTGGCAGAACCTAGACCTGGCTGGGTAGTTAGAGGACAAACAGTTAACATGGTTCGAGGCTTGTTCAAAACAAAAACAAGACATACGGGCGAGTGAATATCGATTAGACTTTCAATTTTTTTTGTTTCGTTTTTGAAAAATTGACTCCAACTGAACCCAAACGAATTAATGGACAATCGAATTATATGAACTGAAGTATGTCGATTCGATTGATTAGTTGTTTGGTTTTCAAATTTTTTTGAAATACATTTTTGGGGTAATTACAAGAAAAACATAAAAAAAAAAAATTAATCTAAAAAATTCATCAATTTATTTTTAAATCTCTCGGACTTAAAATAATATTTTTCTTATCAAATATCTAATAATTAACCCCGCGCTTAACACCGGTTGGTTATTGTGTGTTTTCGTAAGAAAAATGTTATTTTGAATTTGAAAGACTTAAAAATAAGTTGATGGATTTTTTAAATAGAACTTTTTAGAAGGTTTTCTTGTAATTATTATTAACTTAAATTAAACTATTGTTTTCAATATATGTATTTCTATTTTTTATGCCTATGTTTTATTTATTAATGCATTAATATATTACACCTTCACTGCACAATTTAATTTAATTACTTGATAAAAATGGTAAGTTTCGATTAATTAAAACTAGTATTGCTATTGGTGTTTTTTTTTCAATATATTAGGAAATAAGAGATCACAAATTTTCATAATCATATATATTTTTTATTTTGTTTATTTGTACGGTATTTTTTGGATTAAATTACATGAGAATAATAAGAATGTACTTTCATCGACTCCTAAAGCCACTAGATAATAAAACTAATTCTTTAGTTGATTAAATAGATGGTCAATTGATAAAAATAAATAAAAATTCTTGCATAAAACCATTTTTAGTGTAATAAAAAATTAATAGTCGAAGGTTAGTGTATCATTAGTAAAAGAACCCCATGAAACTTTTTTTTTCAATTGTAATCAGAAAAAACCCGAACTTAATAATGATAAAAAAAGAAAAAGAAAATCAATATCAAACTCATTAAAAACTATGAAATCATATTATTATTAGTTTTATAACAAAATTTACCCCTATTCTATTGCGATTTAACAATTTCAGACCATAGTATCAAATCTCATAATTTGAACTCCAAAGTATTGGAGATTAGACAAATGTAATTCGAATTATCCAATGTTCATTATGTGTGGCGGTCAACCGGTTGACCGTTACTTGAAATGTCAAAACGACGTCATTTTAGTATTCCGCTATAAATTATGTTTTAAAAAAATTAAAATATTTTTAATTCCTAATCTTGAACTTTTTAAAAAACTTTTTTCTTACAATATATATATATATATATTTTTTAATCTCCCCAATTTTGAACTTTTTTTTATATAAAATATTATAAACATTTTATAAAAAAAATTATGATTTATGAAATTAGGAGGGTCAACCCTTTAGTATGCTCATTTTAATTTATAATTTTTTTTTACAATCTGAAATTGTGTATTGTTAATTATGTTTTTTACAATAATATTTTATAAAAATTAAAAATTAAAAAGTTCAAAATTAGGTGGTTAAAAATATTTATAATTTTTTATATATAATTTATAAAATATTTTTAAAAAATTCAAGATTAGGGAGGTTAAAAATATTTTTAAAAAGAAACATGATTAACAATAGAATGCCAAAACAACTTCATTTTGGCATTTTAAGTAACGATTAATCCGATTGACCATTACACATAAAGGAGATTGAGCAATTTGGATCACATTTGCTCAATCTCTAACATCTTGAATCTTAAAAAAAACTTACCAGTTTATGTGACTAGATAGAATAGTATATCTTTTTCTTGTTCAAAAATTAAGAAAATAAATAATAGACTTTTAGCTTAAAACAGATACAGGACCATGGAAGCTTGAAGAAATGCCTGTAGGCTATGGGGTGTGCTAATTCCGTGTTTATCCCTGTTTCCTAATGTTTGCCAACTGGTTACTTGTTCTTATAAATGCTTATTAGTAATAACGGTTGATTTGATAAGAAGGCTGCTGCTTGCACAAAATAGTAAGCGGGTTACTAATGACAGGATATTGCATAGATTGAACCATAGATTTAGCCAAAAAAAAAAAAGGACAAAAGAGTCGTAGGATCATAAGGAAGATTATATTAAATTGCTTTGTAGCCTTGGTTTTGATTCAAAAGCAGTTCAAGTCATCTTGGTATCAAGCATATCTTTGCTAATCTAACAACCACAAAAAATGGCACTGCCAAAACTTTGCCTTTCGAGTTCAATTACCCGACGATTACAGTTCTTACTCCACCGACCACATCTTTTCTACATAAATTTTATGGAACAATCACAAACGTGGGATTTTGATCAAACTCCACTTCTAGAGCAAAAATCATACCAAGCCTAAAGATTGTGAAATTATCACTACTGCTTTCTAGGTGATCCTAGCACTGTTTTGTCCCTTTTTTCTTTTTTTTTTCGCCAAATCTATGGTTCAACTAGGCAATATCATGTTAATAGTAACCAGCTAATTATTTTGTGCCAGCAGCCTTCTTATCAAATCACATGTTAAAATCTACTATTTCTTTTTTTTTTTTTATATATAATTTTTGAAAAAGAAAAGGTCTATCATTCTATCTAATCTTTACGGTTATAGATTGTTAAGAGGAGAAATTTTATAATACACAAGGAGTAATTAGTAGCATGTACATTAGTTACTCCTTGGATCCACTTTGAGGAGAGAGATAGACATACAAAGAGAGACAAAAAAATAGGAGAGAGAAAATAAAAAAATTTGAGCAGATGTGGAAATCTTCTTATCACTTTTGATGGGTATAGATGTAATTTTTCTCTTTTTCTATGTGTCTATCTCTCTCCTCAAAGTGAGCTCAAGGAGTAACTACCGTAC